TCCCCAAAACCCCAAAACCCCAAAACCCCAAAACCCCGCATGGAAGTATCTTTTGATATGATAAGACTATAGAATTAAAACAAATTAAATTAATCACAGACGAGTATTGCTTTTCAGATGATTTCTTATAGTTGAGTTATTATGGCTGTTGTTGTTAGAGTTGCCTTTGAATAAGAATGATTTACCTTGAGCACCATTATCACAGAATCTTCCAGTAACGAATTCATTTTCAGGTTGCTGTTAAAAAATTCCTTCCCCAAGATTTGGAACCTTTTCATTTGATCTTCTAACTTCCTATCTTCTATCTCTATTTGTTTGAGCTTCTTCAAAATCATCAGAGCTATTGTTACTTGAACTACCATTATTAAGAATATTAATGTGTCTAGCCGCATCACCATCCATGTCTATTGAATAATTCTGCTGGTCAAACTCATTTTGCCTTGCAGATTCATTACTTCTATGGTAGTGGAATTTAGAATGCTGTTGCATCTCTTTAGTTGTCAAATGCACTGTCGGCTGGTACTTTAGCTACTTACTCTTAAATATATCAGTATTAGAGGAATCATAGAGTACTAGATTGTTATGTGAGGAATTAATGGTATTTTAGAAGTTGTTATTGATATACTTAGAATTGCTAATAGCAAAAGGCATATTCATATTCCTGCTGTTTCTATTGTCATTAGTCGTATTTTCATAGGCTGGGTTTGTATTTAAGTTTTGGAATGCTGGATTAAGATTGGGGCTGTGCTAGTACTAATTATGATCATTCTGATGAACTCTTAGCTGTGATCTGACTTGTTTAAGCTTTGAATTGGAGTTTTCATCATTAGTACTTGTCGGTGAGTATCTATGATGGCCTCTTAGGTTATTTCTAGCAGTGGCTTAATTGCTGTTAGAACCTGAATTAGTAGTTGGCTCTACGACACTCTTGATAATTTCAAAGTAATTTTTGTATCTTTTGGGGGAGTTTGAGCACAATTCCTCTGTTTTCTTGATAATCTTAGAACGTTTTTCTATTGCTATAATTGATCGTTTGCTATAATCACCAGAAGATGAAGATGAGAAATTTTCTAGTTTATCATGGTTATTGAATTATTCTTGGAGGTTCTTTCTTGGTAGCTTATTAGAAACATGAGTTTAGTGTTTAGCAGCTAGCTACATATTTTCTTTGTTCTCTCTGTGAGATTATTGATTGTTATCATTCGAGACAAAATGATTGTTCTGACTAAGCACAATATTTTGTAGAGGTGATTTATCATTCCTCTTTTTCTTATGATTTGCTTTTTTCTTTTTGTTATATACTGAAGATGCGCTTGACCTAAGTTCGACTATGCTATCTGTAGACATGGGTATATTGTTGTTTTACCTAGATGTATAGGATCCTGGCTGGCCATTGTCCTTGCCTTGAATAGTAACAATTTTTTCTAGTAATCCCTTGATCTCATCTGCTACACTACTGACATTCTGCTTCTTTGTATCTTTTTTTACATGCCTTTTAATTTAAGTGCAGTCTTTGCTAATGTCATGTATTTTTTATTCTTAATTTTGCAGTTGATGACTCATCTTTTTGTTTTCACGCTTCAAGTTCTGAATCTCAGTTCTGCAAGCTGTAAGGACTGTGACACTTTAAGGTTGCTGCTATTATACTCTGCTAGTATTTGCAGTTTATGTGATACTTAGATTTGATTTTTACTTCTTTAGCTCTTTCTGAGATCTCAACACACTTTATATTGTATTGCCCGACTAAAGAGTGCTCATTTGCAAGGAAGATCCATTGATATTAGGATTATTAGCATTTCTACTCTTAGTCCTTTCTGAATCTTGCTGTTGAATCATATTAGGAGACTTAGATTTGATTGTCTACTGCTGTTGTTGTTATTATTGAATCTTAAAGTAACTCTAATCTGTGTTTTCATTATTTGCTGTGGTGTTGTTAGCATTTGTCTAATTAGTGCTTACTTTCTCCTCTTCCTCTATTTCATTAAGATCATTTAAGAGGCAAGTGAAGGATCTGCTATTCTGGATCCATTTGTTTTACTGTCCAGAATTGTTATCTCTCGACTTCACATTTTTACTCCTAGGGGATGATTGAAGTAGACTAGCTAACTATTAAGTAGATGCTTAAAGATCTTCTGCATATCTTTTACCAGCTGCATTATTATTCTTATTTGAAGAATAAGGAGCAAGATTGTTTTAGTTAGCTATAGTCGAAGTATTTGGGAACGCATTCTAAGTTTGATTTCTCATATGCTTTGGTTAGGGATGATCCTGCATAATGTGAATATCGAAATCAGGAGTCTCAAATACCTAAAAGCATAGTCCGCACTCCATTCTAATTGCACTGTCAGCCATTCTCTAGCAAGTCTTAAGCAGAGTATATTCGAGTTAAGGTATTGTCTTCATCATCTAGTTTCCTTCTTAAACTACTCCACACATTATCTGAGGGTTATTATTGCTATTGCCATTATTATTTATAACCTTAGGCGATTATTAATAGTGTAATTAGCTATTCTGACTTTAGTGATAACCTCGAATATTTGGTGTATTATTACTCAATGTCGTTGAGAGTGGATTATAACTAATATTACGATTGTGATTATGATCTAGGTTTAAAGTGCCAAATGGACTGGGATTTCTATTATGAGCTATGATCTATGGTTGATTAGAATTGAACACAGATTAGATATCTAGCATCTTCCTCTCAGCTTCTCTGAGATCTTTGGACAACTTAGTTATCTTTTTGTCTTTCTCCAGCATTTCACCTAGGTTTAAGTCTCTAATTTTCTGGAAGTCATCATTAAGGTGATTATACTATTCCTGAATCTCAATGTTCTTTCTCTTCTCTTTGTTTATTTGCTTTTTCAGTTCCATTACCTGTTCAGATGTCACATCAGAAGTTGACTTCTCTTTTAGCTGCTATCTTAACTTTCTTTCATTGGTTTCTAGTTTCTCTATATAATCTTGGTTTTCCAGTGTTTCTTTTCTAAACTTCTTGACTTATTCATTAAGCTTCTCATTTTCTTTTAATAAGCAATCTACTTCTTCTTTTAAACTCTAGATGACTTTGGCATTATCTTACTGCTTTTACTCGTTATTCACTGGTAAATCAATCTTTACAGGTTTAGGGGCATTCTTGATTTTATCTAAGGACTTTTAGAGTTTCATGGCTTTATTTTCAGCTTATACCTTATCCTAGGTAATCTTGGATATCTCTACATCATACTGAACTTTAATCTACTCCACTTCATGATGCAAGGACATTATTTCTTGTTCCAGTTCCTCCCTCTTTCTAATAACCTTGTCACTTCTGTGCGATTCATTGAGTCCCTAAGTATTGATCTTATTAATGAGTGAACTTAGATCATTGTTTGATTTCTCAGCCTTATATTGAAGATTGAATTTTTCCTGTTCATGGATCATCCTCATTTCTTTGAGATTCATGTCAAATTCTGACTTCAACTTTTCATTGTCCCTCTGATACATCAACTTCAATCTTTCAATCTCATTTTTAAGATCATTATTTTCTACTTTGAACTTGATCTCTGCCTTTTGACTGTCTTATTCCCTATCTCTGAAAGCATTTTAAAGTTTGATGCTCAAGTCTTTCTTATCCTGGTCGAATTCCATCTGCATCTGCTTCTGATCTAACCTCATTCGCTCAATTTGAATCTCTAGATCCTTTATTTTCATATCTTTATCATCCAATTAGCGCTTGTAGTTCTTCTCCTTGATGTCAATTTCATCATGCAGCATGCGATTCTTACTCAGTAAATCATTGACATCCGATTTTAATTGTTTTTCATTTTACTAGAGTTAAGATATCGCCTAGGATGTCTGAGAGGGGTCATTACTATTCAGGCAATTGATCATAGTCTCATGAATTCTTTTCTAACTCTCCTCTCTATCCTTTGAATCTTTCAACTGCTGCTCCATTTATTGATTTTTCTATTCCAGAATAGCTCTTTCTTTACTAAACTCAGCATCTTTCAATCTCAACTAATTATAATGATGATTATTATATGTTGAGTATAATATCAATAGCTTACCTCTTTCCTTAATCTGAGAACTTCTTCAGTGGCAGAAGGCATAATTCCATTAAGAGCTTAGCCAGCAAGCATTCCTGCAGGGAATTAGAGGCTTGAGAGAGTTAGTGGTTGATTCTAGTGCGAGTAGGTTGGGCTTAAACTTCGATTCAACATCATTATGAATTAATTCTACTACAATTTAAAATTTTGATTTCTTAACAACTAATATAATATTTAAAGAGCGCATTAATTATAATTTTATTTATGGTAAGAGTCAAGAATAATAAGCAGAGTCTGACTGCGGTATCCTTAAAATATCCTAATAATAAATCATAATAGGTTAAGAGTCGTAAGCCAACTCCTCACCCAAAAAATCAAGAAGCCACTTAGCATGAACTTTAAAGGTAATAACTTCAACTCTTAGGCAAAAGATAAAGAGGAGGAAAAACATCTATAGCCAAGAAAACTAATGCTACCAGAGGTAGAAAGCACATCTAATGTATGATATTTAGACCTCATTATAGTATAGTTAAATCAGAGTCAGATTCGTTTAGAACTGATTCAAGCTTCGATGAATCGTAATACTCAGATGATAGCAATGATTATGAATCCCAATCAAGAAATGGATACCAAAATGATCTCGAGGAAGTTAAGGAGCCAATCAGAAATGGCTAACATTAAATCAAATAATAATTCATTCAGTAATAAAATCAATCACAAGCAGGCCCAATTATCTAGAAAAAGGCAAATCCATTCTAGAGACCAGGAGTGGTAAGCATAATTATTTAGATGAATTGTTATTTAGCCTGATGGAACCGACCCAAACAATCCAGTGAGAGTGTATGCTGACGGAGTCTTTGACATGTACCACGTCGGCCATGCTAAAGTGCTTGAGCAAGCCAAAAAGCTATTTCCACACACATACCTGATAGTCGGAGTGAGTGGAGATAAAGAGACTATTGAAAAAAAGGGTAAAATTGTGATGAATGAGTTTGAGAGATGTGAAATTCTGAAGCACTGCAAATGGGTTGATGAAGTAGTCTGTCCATGCCCTTGGGTCTTAACTGTTGATTTCCTTAGGAAAAATAACATTCATTACGTTGCTCATGATGAAGCACCATATGGTGGTGAGGGTTAAGAAGATATTTACGCTGATGTTAAAAAGCTCGTAAGTTTATTTGCATAGTTTAAAATCATTATAGGGTATGTTTAAGGCAACTTAAAGAACTGAAGGCATCTCAACTTCAGACATTATTTTGAGAATCATTAAGGATTATGACATGTATGTGTGGAGAAGCTTGAAAAGAGGATATAGTAGAAAAGATATAGGTATCTCAGCTTTCAAGGCATAAAGAATTAAGTTCAAGGAGAATTTCAAGGAATTTAAAGACTCCCTCGAGAAGGAACATCTTGGAAAGAGCTTTGACACTGGCTATGATAAAATTAGAACTAAGGTTTCTAACTTGGTAATTTATTCATTGCTTACAAATTTCTATCAATAGATTCATAATATGGAGGACAATGCTTAGACTGTGATGTACGATTTCTTGCAGCAGTTCGGTCCTAAGGATGACAAGTCTTTGATTGGTAAAATATTCAGCAAGATTAGAAAGAGAGATGAAAAAGCTAAGGTTAAAGCTACTCTTAAAATGCTTGAAGAGCCTTTAAGTGATTTTGATTATTGAGCTCAGTACAACCGAATCTTCACTAACTTATCTTATTTTAATCAAACTCAAGATTTTCTAATAAAGTTCAATCTTTTAAAGCATTCTTCTTTTTATCTTTAATCACAAACGTAAAATTTAGGCATTATGGGGTTTTGGGGTTTTGGGGTTTTGGGG